TGTGAGACAGAGTTCAAGGTCAGTCTGTGCCAAAAGGCTTCACTCTGTATACTTCAGCTTTATTACCATAGTAACAGTCCTAATACTTTTGGATCAAACCTTGTATATGACATGCCTGCAACATTTTAACCCTAGACTTAGGACTCTTTCACATCTTATGTAAATGCTATATACATGGAAGTGTGTCTTGGATTATTCACTGGCATAATGGGTTCATCCCCATTATGCCAGTCAATAATAACCAAGAATTCTTGATGATGTTACCATGGAAAGACACTACATTTAGTGATTAGGATAATGGGCTCATCCACAAGGGAAATGAACAACTCTATTGGTAGTTTCAAAAATGATGCTTAACAATAGTACACTTATCTTGACCAAGGAAGATTTTGTATAAAAGGATGAGTCCTGAGATATAAAACTAAATTTTAATATTATAGGCATCACAAACCAAAATCTTAAATCTTGTTGAAAAAAAATATTAAAAATTTAAAAAATTAGTTATGATTTTTGTTACTTCCATGACAAATATAAGAGTCCAAATTTGCATCTTGTAAAGGAAAAACAATTAAAATTGAATTAAATGGTTACAAAATCAAAATATTTTTTAAATTGGCAAAAACAAAAACAAATAATGGTGGTCATTATCTGATTGACAGAAAACTTGACATTGTAAATAAATAAAAAAAGCTCTATTAAAAATAAAATAATCATAACATCAGGACAATTTTATAGAAACTAGACTACCTGTGACTTGTTGGGTCAATGATGGTTCAGGTTATAAAACACTGAAGTTGATTTTAACATTCCATTGAAATGAAAGTTAATTTAATGAATAAGTTGAATATTTCAATTTATTTGTGTCATCATTGGTGTGGTTTATAAGTTCATGTTTAACATTTTACTGATTGTTTACAGCATTTAATAGGAATAGAACTTCCGGGTTAAACTTGAACTTTAAATCAGATTAACTTAAAAATATATTCTTAATATGCCACAAATATTTTAAAATCATATTCACTTGAAAATATTTTTTAAATATGCCAAAAAATATTTTTAAATGCTTAAAATATTGTTTGTTTAAAGAAAGCTGAAATATAAATAATTACTCTTCAAACAGCTGGACAAAACAGCAAAGCGGTATCACTTTGTGTCTGTCTTTAACTTAAAAATATTTTAATTAGGAAAATTGTCTGAAGAACGTTAAAGCAAAAATACTTACTGTATAAACAACTCATATTTTGAAATCTTATTCACTTAAATCATTATGCACTGGATGGACACACCATACAAGCATGCACACAATCACAGACTTCTAGTATTAGATAGTTATTTTAATATTTACTCAATCTAATGATGCCAAAAATTGCCAAATTTATGACCTGAGTCAGTATGGATCAAATGTTAATTTGGGTTGATGAGGAGATATTTGTATTTCCAGCTGATGAGACATGAAAAAGTAGTGAAGCAAATGGCTTCTGTTTGTAAGTATGGTGGTGTATAATAAAATGAAGCGTAATAAAAACATTTCATTTTGTGTTTTTAAATTGTATTTATTTTTCAGAAATTTTTTGTTATTGATCCAATTTTTTTAATAAAAATCATTACTTCAAAAACATTAATTCTGGAACACATTCTGTCACGTGAAATGTTGATTATAAAGAATGTAAAAAAATTTAAATACATTTACTATTTTTTTGGTCTCAAATAATAAAATATTTTTGGTGGAAATGATTATGATATTTAAAGAAATAAAATTTTCACTGAAAAAATTTAGGATGCAAACCATTTTATTTTCAGAATAGAAAGAAATCATATAGCTTATATATGAGTGAAGTATTGCAACAATCAGAAAGAGAGGTTTGCATTAGAAGACAAGTGCAAAATATTTCCATGGTTGCATGCAGATATGAGAAATCAATGCACTCTCTCCTATATTAGTTTAATCTATAAAAATTGGTAATCCTTCATGTAGGCAGGATCAAATAATCTATCAAAGTTCTTCTTTACTTAAATGGTGTAAAATAAACTGTCATTTTATGTCTTTAAATGTTTTTAATTTTTTACAATTTTTGCTGGGCTGCTTATGCTGGAATCAAGGAAATCAGCCATGGGATATTAAAAGGAAATCAGCCACAGGATAAATTTTCATGATGTTGTTATTCATCAGCAGCATTTTGTGGATCCTGATGATGACACTGTCCTTACTCAAAATGTGGAAAAACTTTGAATGTGCATCAAGCATAAAATACATTGACAGTTTGGAATATCTGAGTTGTTGTTCATGTTGCATTTTCATGAATTTATGTGGTGTCTTGTACAGACCAATCCCGTGTTTTCAGCATTTATTTGCTGCGTCATCCACCATTATCCTTTGTAATTATGCTTAACATATATTCTTTGGTCTTATTGATTTTGCACTGTTCAGGGAATAGCAGTTTATTTTACACCACTTAAATGATAGATCGCCAAAAAAATTCTTATTTAAATTTACTTTTATATCATATTTTGAAATTGTGTAGTCTTCATCTTCATCTGTAAAATAAAGCATTTCATAATTATTATTAGCAAAATTTAAGTTTTGTGCCTTACTGCACATTGCAATTACCATTATGACATATACTTTGTAATATATTGGGTAATTTTTCTACCGATTTTGTAGAAAGACATTTGAAAGTAATGCATTTATTTGTTCTTTCAACCAGTTCAACCAATCTTAGCCATGATAGAACTAGTGTGAGAATGATAACAAGTGAAAAATGGAAATGGTCACAAGTCTGTGCAGCTGTAGTTAATAATAATACCCAATTGACTGCATTTTTAAAAATAGTTGGAGGCAATATTTTCATATATTATACGAAATGAAGTTCTTAAAAACAAAAATATACACCTTTTGAAAGAATAAAAAAAAGACTTTAAAAATTATTAAATTGATATGAAAAATAAAAACAATATATATCAAAGCAATTTTTTGTTACAGACAATAGCTCTCTAGAGCTATTGTCTGTAACAAAAAATTTTTCAAAATTCAATATTTTATTTTAAATTCCAGGCTAAGGCATCCATATTGACTTTTTCTTGGTTTCATTTTTTTTTATTTTTTCAGCATTTATTTTTTGTAGGACTTATCTTTAAAAAGTGATATGCCTCAATATACAATTGAAAATAGTACATATTTCTATGATTTAAAAAAACAATGATATTTTATGGTAGCAATGATTACACATAGTAAATAACATTTGTAACAGCAAATATACCTGGTTTTGCTTAATATATAGAAACAATATAGAAACAATATTTGTGATAATTTTTTTTTTCATTCTTTCCGTTTTCAATTAACAGAAAAAAATTACCCATAAAATTAACTTTTGTAAAACTTAAAAAACTTAATTTTGTGGTCATATTCAAGTGAAGATATTAAAACAAAGTGGAAAGTCTATAAACAACAACACATTTCAGGTGTATTCAAGTGTAAAATTTGGAGAAATTATATACCTATAATATTGGCTTCATATATCCATATACAAAACAAGTGTAAATAATAGTTTATTTGCTATGTAGTTCATTAGAAACCCAAGGAAGTTGAAAAATAAGTTGTATGTTAGCCACTAAAAGATAATTTCAAATTAAAACTAGTTTTTTTATAGTGATCAAGTCTTAATCATTTTTAAAGGCTTCATTTTTGTTTGGGATTTTAGTTCATCCTAAAATATTGTGAATGGAAATTACTACAGCTGAAAATTTTAGTTTTAATATTAATAAACTTGTCTAGATTTGTTGCAGTTGTATTTGCATCATGTGCTGCTCAGGACATCTGAAAGAAATTAGAGATTATTCAATCAAAACAGATCTTTCATATAAAAAATAAAAGTTAGAACACTTATCTCTCACTGCAATTTTTATTACTTGTAAATCTGTGGTAATTAAACAATATTTCTTGAATGTAAATGAAAAGTTTGTCTTTTGGTTTTAATCACCAAAAACAGAATATCTGTAAAGAACCAGAAAAACAATTCTTTCTATAATATTTTTGTTATACTGACACAACATAAGGGATATATTTGATTTTTCATTATAGTATAAGTTTTAAATCAGTCCACTGCTACTGCCTTTTCTATTGAGTAGCCAAATAATTTTTATCAGAAAAAAATAATTTTTACTTTTTGCTGTCTTAAGAAATTTTGAAGAAATAATCTTCTGAATTTACACTTACTCAAACAATATTTCTTCAAGTACTCTCTTCCAGTTACAAAATCTAAAATTTCAAGAACAATCTAAAAATTTAAAGAAAATATAGAAAATTTGAATAAAATCAAATGAAAGCAGACTTCTAGCATCCACTTAGAATGGAAGTCTGATTGTGCAATCCATAAAATATCAGTATGAAATAGTGAAATTAAAAACGAATTTCAGGGCAAAAAAGATTTTCCACAAAATTCTAAAAATTCTTTTTGTCATTATTGCATGAATCAAGCAAAATCTTAATTTTTTTACCTTATAAGCAGAAGTAAAAAAAAAAAATATTAAATATTTTAAAAAATTCTATTTCTTCATTTTTACAGAATATCTTAAAAATCTTTGTAAATGTATGCTAATTATTTTACAAACAAACATTATGAAGTTAATTATGATATTATCACAATTTTTTTCTTAAGTACAAAAGGTACTAATTTCCAATAAATTTACTTGATGGGATTTCATCACCCACCAAACTGGTTTTTATTTGGCTTTTAGTTTTATTCTTTAAATTTGTCTCTTGTATTGTCTGTGACAAATTTTAAATGATGTCATTTACATTGTCCAATTTTGCATTCTTTCATATTTTAGTAAGGATTTGAGCATTGTCATCAGTTATTTTATATTATCTTAGTGACATCTTCAATTTTCTTCTTGATCTTTCCATATCTCACACCTGCATGGCTATCTCATTATATTGCCATATTTTCTTCAAAGCTATTTTGTCTTGTATTCTTGATTTATTTCCTGTGAGCCTCCATCTTCTACAAGTGAGTCACCATCGTGAGGCAGTTGATATGTTCTACTGATGAAATCCTCACCAGCGGTTGACTCAAGGTGCGACATAATGTGCTGTAAGAATATACAAAATGGAAAATTATTACAATAAAGATTTTCAGTTCATGGCACAATGAACATTGCTTTTGTGATATTGTGGCAGTTAATCTTGTTTTCCTGAATTAAATTTCCTCTTTGTTTTTTCAATGCTCAGAAAATCAGATAGCATAATCTTGTCATTTTTCCAAATGATAGCCTACCAATATCACACAATCACCGGCCACAGTTTAGGTGCAAAGGATAAAATTTGTAAGTGGTTATTTATAGTTTAACAACCATAGCCAGAGATGTCAGAATTTTTTTTAATATACAATATTTATTATTTCTAATATTAAGCAGCAAAAAAGAAAGAGTAATTGTGGAGAATAGGATCTGGGATAAAATAATTTTTCCTTTTTATAAACCTGAAAAATTCTGATTTTCATATAAAACAAAATAGATGAGGTTTAAACATGCATTTAAATGTGTCTTCCAATTTTTTATTTTTACTTGTTCTATATTTTATTTATCCAGCAAAATAATAAAACAATGTAAGTATTGCTTTTTTTTTTAATTCCTGTCTTTCATTTGAATAGCACCAATTTTACATTTGAAAAGATTTGACTATTTCACTTTGACAATATCAGGAGATGACTTCATAATAGAAGCAATTACTAGCTACAATATCATTTTACAATTCTTGTGGGCAAGGCATGAGCCCACACTTTATTTGCTCTGTCCTACAACCAGATACATAGGAAGAGAAATGTACTTAAGATTAAGTATGTCCTGAGTAAGATGTATGACTTCAATCCTCTTGGAGGTGAAGCTCATACATCAATGTCATTCATTACAAACTTAGAATCATTTAATATATTGTTTTTGTATGAATTTCTGGGATGAAGAGATATTGTTATTGACACTATTTGCATTCAGACTGTTGTCTTTACATTTGTTGTTATCATGTTTCAGCTGTTGCCCCCTCTGGCCTTCATTAGGCATATGTAACCTATAAGGAATTTCAAACAGAACCCTTTATTTAATCTACAATGTTCCATTGCCCGCGTCTAGGGATATCTCATCTAGTTCTTATTTTTAGTACTGCTAAGTTATTACAAGTAGATATTGCCCAGAGATTGAACTCACAATTACTATGTCACCAAATTCATGAGTCATCATTTTAATTCACTAGGCTATTGTTCTGTAGGACTGTATCTGGATTGATATACACCTGATGAAGGCCAGAAGGTGCAAAAGCTGAAACATTATGATAATAGAGACAAAGATGTCCAAATAGTCCAAATGATAATATATTATTTCAAAATCTGAATATTAACAGCAAATGTAAAAATGCATTTTTGTTTCAAATAAGAAAGGAAAATTTTTTCCTTTCTTATTTTTAACAAAAAATGTACATTGCAAAAGGATGATTACTGTATCGGACAAGACTGTCCAATGCAGTAATCATCCTTTTGCAACATTTCTAAAGATGAAGAATAAAGAAACATATGTTGCAGATTTAATTTTCCTTTTCTTTAAGAGAAATTTGAATGTGTCTTTTGTCAAAAGAAAATAAACTGAAATTGATGAGAACAAATGATTTGATTTTGGTCAATAAGAAGATTATTATTGCTTCAGGAATAGAAGAGATGTTATTGAAAAATTATGGTGAAGTTTAATTTAGGACCAGGAAAAAAAAAATGACATTTTTCTCTTGACACCACTATTACCATATACTCTTTGGTAATTTCAATTGTTTTAAAAAGTTATTTTTAAAACTTTAATAAAACACTAACTTTAGTTCAATGAAGTCCTAGAGGATGAAACACATTACACAATACATTTTTCCACTTTCTCATGGATTTTCCTAAAAACCTAACATATTAAAATTGAATTGATACATTTTTTCTTGCCAATTAACAACAAAAATGTTAAGCATTATTTATTTCACTGTTTATGAGATTATAATAGATAAATGTAACAATATTTTTTTCATATTAGTTACTCCTTTTTGCTTTTAGCATGTCCTGCAATTGTAAAAATTTCCAGGCCTTCTTTCCTTATTATATATGCTAGAAATTTCAGTTATCTCCTTTCATTTTCCTTAAAACCTCCTTGTTGTTTACATACGTCCATGGTATTCTCAGCATCCTTCTATAGAACAACATCTGTTACCTCAAGAGTCCCTTTCATCAGTGAGGAAATTCTCCCACATTCACTACTGCCATACATGATGACTGATATTACATAGCAGTCCAGCACTCCTTTGTTTCTAATGAAGCTTTGATGTTTCTTAATACTTTGTTTAGATTCTGGATGGTATCTTTAGCTATTTCAATGCACCTTTGGATTTCAGTTTAACATCTGTTAAAGCACTTCCATGATATTTAAACTTCTGTACTAGCTTGATTTTGGTATGTCCAATTCAGAGTTTGCATTTTGGACTGTTTCTCTTGCTTGCAACTATACCTTTGGTCTTCTTACAATTCATGGTTTGTCCTTTCATCTCACTTTCCTTTATTACTTTGTTTAGTTCCTGTATTTTTCTTTGTGTAAGCCATCACTTTGGTGTAATATGCATAGCTTATGCTAAGATTTTGTCCACCAATGAAAAATCCTGGTAGGACTTCTGGTTCACTTAGGATAGTCTTACTCTAGATGTTGACCAAATTCTATGAGAAGACACATCCTTGTTTATGTCCCTTTCTATTTTTGTGTACTTATTCAATTCATTTTCTATTCATATGCAGGTAGTTTATTCCCAGTTTTGGATTATTTTAATATCTTTCCCAAATAAATAAAATTTTCCTAGCAGTTCAAATAGATGTTTCTGTCATAATTTATCAAATGCTGTTGTATATTCTATGAAATTCTTTTGCATTTGTATTGCTCCCTATGATATCATTCTGATCATAAATATTGCATTTCTTGTTCTAGTGATTTTAAGAAAAAAACTCTTCTTGTCCTATTTCTACTTTAATTCCATGTGCTTTATTTACTAGAATTTGGATGATATAAACTTGGTTATGTGGCTTATTAAGCTGACTGTCGAATGGAGCTTGCATTCATTTGCACCTGTTTTTTTTTAGACAGCCTTACCAAGATTGATCTGATAAGATCTTCTGGTATGTTGTCACTGTTGTACTATTTTTTTGTAATCTTGTTGGTGCCAAAATTGTCTAAAGCTGATAAATTTTTTATTACAATTCAGAGATTGCATTTTGGACTGTTCCTTCTCACCTTGGCTAGTCTGATTTACTTCAGACTTTAATACTTATGGTCCTTCTATATTTTTGTACATTGCAGGTTTTCTTCTGACTGTGAAATAGTTCTTCAATGTATTTATTTATAAGATTATAAAAATATTCTTTAGGTTCATTATAAGAATAATTTTATATTTACAAGATTATAAAAATCTATGAAATATTCATTATTTACCATATTATAAAGAAAATACATTTTTTATTCATAAAATTATAAAAATATCTTCACAGATACAAGAAAATCTACATAAACACAAAGATGAACAACTAATTGTAAATTTTGAAAAATGCATTTTCCAGATTTTTTTTTTCATTTGCCCTCATCACATAAATTCACTAAAATAGGTTGGGATCATCTCTTCCACTTAACCAAACATTCTTTTAATTTTAAACTTTTGGCAAGACCACAGTCAGTGTTTTGAGTGGGTATTTCCCTATTAATAGGATAAACAAAGTTTTCTGTATATACAATTACAGAATGTCTAACTAGGTATTTGGGTAGGTATGAGAGCCAACCATATGAAATTATACAAGTTCTTGGTTTTAATTTTTACAAGGAGGGTTCAATTTTAAATTTTAAAAATGTAATTGTCCATCTTAAAATAAAAATAATAGTGAACCTCCCCTACCCTGAACCCTTCTTGGAAGATTAAAAAAAAAGAAGTAATCTGAGGTAGCTATGGTTAATTATATTGAGAAAAAATGTATAAATTCAGTTTTATATGGTTTTATTAAAATTCAAAAATAACTTTTTAAGACAGTAAAAATTGCCAAGAGAGTATACAATATTTAGTCAAAAAAACAAAAACAAAACTGTTCCCATGAGACATATTTTTGTCTGTTTCTGTGTTAAACTGTCAAAATTATATTTGTTCATCCTTCTAAAAGGAAAGTGTTTAAAAGTATTTACCTGTAAGAAATCTCCATTGAGATACTTGAACTACCAACCCATATTTCAATTTTAAAGGTTTCATTTAGTTAAAAAATAATATGATTAAGGTTAATTATAAAGTGAAAAAAAAAACTTGATAGCTGAAAGATGGAATTTAATCATCAAAAGTTCTTTTTACTTGAGTCAAGAGTCAAATAACAATATTTTCTAAATCCCTGCTGGAAGAATAATGTTTCTACTTAATGTTCATTTATATAAACACACACACACACAGTACGTATGAAAGTCAATTTTTCACAATAACATTAACCAATCAGAATATTTTATATGGTACCATGCAAATTTCTGCTTAAAAAATAATTTATTTCGTGTGAGATTTTATAGTTATTTATATTTATTTGCTAATTTCAGTTATATAAAGACTGCTTTGTAAATGGCCTCAGAAGAGAAACTAAATATTGCAAAGTTTTTGAGTGAATAGGAAAATAACATTGAAAATTGTGAAAAAGAACAATAAAAAAGGAAGGAAAACATTGACAGAATAAGAACAAGAAAGAAACTGGTTTGAAGAATGTCACAAAAACAGATTTGAGAAAAATTAAAATGATAATAAGCAAGAAAAATGAATTGTCTATCAAGAAAATATTTGAAGAATCTGGTGTTGTGACTGTAACCTAAGAGAAATTAAGCAGAACTTTGGCTGAAGACAAGAAAGAAATCAAATGACCAACTTTAAGTAAATATTACAAAGAGAGATATGTAAGTTGGATAAAGTAGATGAAAATTGATTTCTCAACAGTAATTTTAGTGATGAATATAGAGGTATATTGGATGGATCTGATAGCTGGGCTAGAGTTTGGGGGTCTTTGATGGAAATAGTT